AGTTGTGATCCCACCAATTTTTTACTGTGAACTTGACAAATATGGTTTCTTACATTTAAAACAGTGAGAATATGTAACAGTATATTTTTCTAGAATCAAGCTTTGCCAGCAATTCACTTATAAGTAAAAATGTTAGTGATGTGCTGAGCAAAAATGAAAACATGACTCATTTACCTTTTTAAGATAGAGATGAAGAACAACTAAATCCTTTGTGATTTCAGCACAGAAGAATCATTGCATATACGTATCTATCATTTAATTGATGTGATTGCAAAAAAACTGTTTCCTATGACAATATTTAAAGTTAGGTGATTATTCAAGTTCAGTGAGTTGCGTCTTAAGTTTCAATAAAACTAAATTCAAATCCAAGGATTCTGCCTGATCTTAAATTTTAAAGAAAAAAATGGTCTTATAGGCTCAAGCTAAGTCAATTTTGGACCTTGGATATGAATCAATAACATCTGCTTGAGTCTGTAATAAACAATCTGGCTGAAAAGTTTTTCTTTTCTCATTTCTCAACATTTTTCACTCTCATTGGTGAATGTTGATATAATAGTCCTCTTATCCTAACCAGAAATCCTGTGTATGCCCTCCATTCTCTTGGAGGCTTTTATGATCAAGGTTAGATCCAGAGGTGGGTGATGGATAGATAGTTCACAGTGGAACAAAGAGACCCTGCAAAGTGCAGTCCACCAGTCTTTTCCATACAATGGGTGTTAAGATTGGTGCCTATACAACAACTGAAACAAATGAATTAAAGAGGGGTCCGTTTGTGCCAAGGACTGTAATAGGGACGCATCTGAGACCTAAACTGCTAAAACGAATAACATTCTGAACACTGTTTACATGGAGCTGAAATGGTCTCCAGTTGGATGAGCTAATAACATATCAGGAACCTCTGAAAGTGGTTTGATATTTCATGATCTGCCTGTGAGCCTCCAGGAAGGATTTTGGAAAATGATCAGTGGACATATACTGCACTCGCCCACACGAGAGAGAAAGAGAGACTAAAGAGAAAGATGAACTGGTTGCATAAGATATATTCACCTCCCCATTGCAATACAAGCAAGAAAAGGAAGCAAAGGAATGCGCTCAGCACGGAGTCAATGTTACAACAACAACAACAACAAAATTACATTTGTATAGAGCCTTTCATGTTGGGAGGATGTCCCAAGGAAGTGGACAATCAGTATTTTGGACCTAATCTGGGGGGTCGGGATCGGGGAGGATGAAGCAGGCATTTTAATCGTTACTTACCAGATTATGATTTTTTTTTAAATTCCATTCATTAAACTGAAATGATCTGTATGTTATGAAGCTGGGCTCCATTTTTTAAAAACCCCTTTCAGTTATTGTAGTAAAAACAATGTTTTTTTAAAAAAAGTTACAATTATTCTGACATTGATTGGACCTCAGAAATGAATGACTTCAAGAATGGGTGGTAATGATCTTCACTGCTATTGCAATCTTGTTACTTCTTTCTGGAGGAAATAGGAGAAAGTTCACAAAGTAGTGTTCACTTCCATTCAAATAACACTGGAAAAGGTTCTCTCACAGATGTCACAAGGCTGGTTGGTCACTCATGCTGGAAAAGGGCTGAGTAAATGTTCACCAGCAATTTGCTGCAGAATATTTCCAGGAGGCCTCTTTTTGTAATGTGGCTTGGTATTATTATGTATTGCTGAATATGTAACTGTAGCACTCCAAACCCTTATCCCTGATCAGGAAGAACAGGGAAGAAAATCCTCGCTATCCCAACAGGACAGTGACAGGAGACTAGCCTGAAATGGTAACAGAATACTGTATTGATGCATCATTTTTCACAGTGTTAAAAGGGCAACAAATCACATAAGAGCTGTCATGAAAATACTGTATAAGTACTCCCCCTACAAATACAGGTTTGGTGTGGTCAGCGCCTCCTGGTGGCTAATAATTTGTCCAGCTTTATAATAATAATCCTTGCATTTGATATAGCGCCTTATCACGTCTTCTAGATGTCTCAAAGCGCTTCACCGAATATACTGTAAAGTGTAGTGACCGTGTGTATTGTGGACGAAACGCGGCAGCCGATTGTCCACAGCATTGTCTCACAAACAGTCGTGGATTGAGTAACCAAATTATTATTACTAATATTATTTTGCATTGTTTAAAGAGATTATTATCCGAATTTACCTCTGAGCTGGGAATGTATCTGTACAATAATAATAATCGTATGATGATAATAATGATAATAATCATTTTCTGTGTAATATTTGAAATGTATGAATAAAGTATAATGGGAGGTGGACATGGATTGCTGAAATAAACAGTAAATCAACCTTACAGTAACAGAATACTTTATTGATGTTTTATTTTACCTGGAGCCCTCGGATACATCCAGTGAGCCCTGGCTGCAATGAATTGGCTACGGATCAAAAGGGAGCAAGAACTGAGAACCACATTATTGTTGGATTCCGTGCATTTAGATGGAGTCTAAATAAGTAAGTATAGATTAAGTGTAGAATACTGTTATGCACTACCACTCAGTACAGTAATCTGTCTTGAGAGAAAAGGAGGGAGGTACCCATTAGCAATGATTTTGAGCTGTCTGAATGTGATCGCAGCGACCTGTGGGTGAGGGAGGGAGGTAATGCCATTGAACTGTTGCTGTGAGTAATACTTGCTTTAAACACAACCCTAACAATCCGAAAGATAATTATAATCTGGAAAGCAAAGAGCGCTTCTTGACGCAGCACGTTCAGACATGAGGAAGGGAGCACGTTGTATCCAACATTTAGTAGTGGGAAATCGCAAGATTGGGATAAAGGCTGGAGTACAAGTGTAATCATAATAATAATAATCCTTGCATTTGATATAGCGCTTTTCACGTCGGAAGGACGTAATCATATTATCATGTTATCATGGACGTAATCATGTTTAATCATATTAAACATTGAGAGATGTCCGTATATGCTGCCCTAATAATGGTCGAGTAACACAAACCACAGGTCACAGGTTCGATCCCTGGTCCCTCCTGAGTCAGATGAGCTCAGGGGCAGCAGTTACAACCCAAGTCTCTGCATAATTATAATTATACAACTGCTGCAAAATGCACATTCCTAAACATCTCCCTCTCTCAGACAGTTTTGCCTGCACAGTATTTGGGTTCAGTCCTGGCCAAGTACCAGAAGGGACCTGAAACCCTGCAAGTCAACGCCTTCATTAGAGAAGTACTGGAGAAGAAAAGGGGTGGAAATAAAAGAGAGTCGACCTGATGGCAGAGCAGAGTAGGGCAACGAAGGTTAAAATCACTCACGCCAGAGCAGACCGTTTCAAAAATATTTTTTTTGGTGGGGCAACTGATAGTAAGTAGCGAAATAAAATAAAATGGAATAAAATAAAATGAAATGAAAGGAGGAAAGAAAAAGAAAAAGCACTAGAAAGAAACACTGGAAAGTTTTAACCTCAAAAGATGTAGTCAGAAGACACAAAAATCACACCAGCTTTGTCGGGGTGGGTGGTATTTGCATCAAGTATTTGCAAACTTTTTAAGGATTGGCCAAGCTTTCCCTGGGCTTTTTATTATTATTATTATTATTTTTGTGTCCCGACGCCTCTCTTTTATTTCTTTAGAGTTAATAACTTTGCAGAGTCCTGTGGCGTTGTAGAGTCCTGTAGCTCAGTGATTAGAGCACTCGCTTTGCAAGCGAGAGACCTGAGTTCAATTCCAGGCAGCGCGAAACCTTGGGCAAGTTTCCTTACTCCACACAGAGCCTAATAATAATCCCTCCAAAAACCCAAAAACAATAATAAATTGGTCATTTTCAATCTACGACTGTTTGTGGGACATTGCTGTGTGCAATTGGCTGCCGCGTTCGCCCACAAATGTATAGTCAATTCACTTTAGTGTGTTCTGTGAAGCGCTTTGGGACGTCCTCCCGACGTGAAAAGCGCTATATCAAATGCAAGGATTATAGGATTATTATTCTGGATGTCCTGCGAGACGACTCCCAGACTCATTTATTTCCTCCTCCCCCCACCTCTTCGTGTTTGTATTGGGTTGAAGTTAATGAACTCCTCTCCTCCCCCTCTTTTGTGTGTGTGTGTGTGTGTGTGTGACAACACCCTCCCACTCTGGAGTTCAGAGATCTACTCTCTCTCTCTCTGTCTCTCTTGAGCAGTATCTCATAGTATTGCCCTCTCACTGGGCTCCATCCACTGAGACGGGAGTGTCGGTAACTTTGTTTTGTTGTGTTGGGAGAGAGGAGGGGACAGGAAAGAAGTGAGTGGCTTCTCTTTTGAGAGTACAGAGAGCAGAGTCCAGTCAAGGCTCTCATGTGGTGACTGTGTTTGTGTTGAGGAGAGGCCCCTTGAGTGTGAGTGTGTGTGTGTGTGTGAGAGAGAGAGAGAGAGAGAGAGTGAGAGAGTGAGTGAGTGTGAGAGTGTGTGTGTGTGAGAGAGTGAGTGAGTGTGAGAGTGTGTGAGTGAGTGAGTAACTGAGAGAGAGTGAGTGTGTGAGAGTGTGAGTGTGTAAGAGTGAGTAACTGGGTGTGAGTGAGTGAGTGAGTGTGTGAGAGAGTGAGTGAGTGTGATTGAGTGAGAGAGAGTGAGTGTGTGAGAGAGTGAGTGTGAGTGAGTGAGTGTGTGAGTGAGTGAGTGTGTGAGAGAGTGAGTGTGAGAGTGTGTGTGAGTGAGAGAGTGAGTGTGAGAGAGTGAGTGTGAGAGAGTGAGTGTGTGAGAGAGTGAGTGTGAGAGTGTGTGTGAGTGAGTGAGTGAGTGAGAGAGTGAGTGTGAGAGAGTGAGTGAGTGAGTGAGAGAGTGAGTGAGTGAGTGGCTGTTGGGCTCTGGTTGTCGGGAGCTCAGAGCAGTTGAGAAGAAAGGGGGAGAAGCAGCTGAAGTCCTCTCTCTCTCTCTCTCTCTCCCTCTGTGTGTGTGTGTGAGTGTGTGTGTGTCCCTCTCTCCCTCCTTACCTCACCAGCTCAGCTCAGCTCAGCTCAGGGCGGGCGGGGGCCGGGGTCGGGGTGTGGGGGTCGGGGTGTGGGGGCTGTGATCATGGCGGGGTGTTGCATGTCCGAAGAAAACAAGGAAGCTCAGCGGATAAACGCCGAGATCGAGAGGCAGCTCCGCAGGGACAAGAGGGACGCTCGGCGGGAGCTGAAGCTGTTGCTGTTGGGTGAGTGAGTGAGTGAGTGACTTAGTGACTTAGTAACTGCATTCAAGTCCAGGTCAATGCAAAACGCTATATCAAATGCAAGGATTATTATTAATGCAATGCACTCCCCCACTCCCACCCCACTTTCCTTCCTTCCTTCCTTCCTTTCTTCCCTTCCTTCCCTTCCCTCCTTCCCTTCCTTCCCTCCTTCCTCCTCTTCCAACACCCGGGGAAATAACGGGGAGCCGGTCAGTGCCATCGAAGCTGCCCGACGCAAACCGCAGGGAAAACCCACCGGGTGACCCGCGGCAGCGAGTGTGTCCTCTGGGGAGGGAGGGAGTGTGTGTGTGTGTGTGTGGGTGGTGGGGGGTGTGGGGTCTCTGAGCTACTTTGTGGCGCAAAATTGCTACTTTGTCCCATTTGCATTCGCTCCCTCTCCCCGTGTATCCCCGACTGCATCCATGTCCATCCCCCCTTTTTCGTGCCTGCAACTTTACCCGCTTTGTTTTTTTGTCTATTGATATTATTATTATTATTTAAAAGAAAGAAATCCGCTTCGACTTCATTTCCCCCCCCCACCCCATCCCTTCAACGTAGAGAAAAAAATGTGTATATGTATGTGTGTGTGTGTGTGGGGGGGGGGGGGAGGAAGGAAGAGAGAGAAAGTAGAAGATTTCTTCCACCAAAGTTGTTCAAAGTAAATGCTTCTTCAAATCAGGTTGTTGTGTATGGTCAAGTATTGTGTGGCTGTGTGTGTTTTTGTGAGCTGTAGTTGTTAGTGACTTCCAAGTGGTTAAAGTCAGTGGCTGTGCAGCTGTTGCTGTTGTACTAACAGGCGGTGTTGGTGTGGGTGTGGGTTGGGGTTGGGTTGGGGGTTTGGCTGGGGCTCAGGGGCTCGGGGGCTGGTGCTGACGGCCTGTTCTCTCCTCCTGTAACCTGAGCCTCAGGTGGAAGGAGAAAGCCGGGAGGGAAGGAGGGGGGGCGAGCAGCAGGTCCAGAGCCCAGCGGGGTTTCTTGTGGTAAAGTGCGAGAACTCAGGTTAACTGTTTGCCCCCAAGCAGCCAGCCAGCACTCACCCACCCACTCACTCACCCACCCATTCACTCACCCACCCACCCATCCACTCACTCACTCACCCACCCACTCACTCACCCACCCATCCACTCACTCACTCACCCATCCACTCACTCACCCACTCACTCACCCACCCACCCATCCACTCACTCACTCACTCACCCATCCACTCACTCACCCACCCACTCACTCACCCACTCACTCACCCACCCACCCATCCACTCACTCACTCACCCATCCACTCACTCACTCACTCATTCACCCACCCACCCACCCATCCACTCACTCACTCACCCATCCACCCACTCACTCACCCACTCACCCACCGACACAATAAATGCAACTTTTTCTCATTTCATTGATTTCTGTCCAGTATTAGCCTATTTCCTGTTTGATGTTTTAGGGACTTTTTCATTCTGATCTTACCCCCCCCCCCCCCACACACACACACACACACAAACCCCCTTTTAGTGTCACCATTTATCTACTTCACTGACCCTCCAAAAACAGAATCGTTTATATGACATTAAACATTTCTTTTTAACCTTTAATTTACAGAGCAGTTCCCATCCCCCCTCTCCTCCCCCCTCCAGGGTTTGACTAACTGGACAAGTGGGCTGGGTGTGGCAGTGAAGTAGCCAGGAACAGAATGGTTTCCTTGATTCTTTATCTAATGTTAAGCATTTTTTTTCTCTCTCAAATTTGGTTTCACTTTTCCATTGCAGGCCTTTTTGAAGTAGGTTCTTCCGTTTTCAAATCATTGCTGTTCCCCATTCCTGTTAGTTGACAGAAGTTTTGTTATCCTTTCAATTAAAAGGATCTCTCTCCAGTGACTTGTCATTCCCCTCCCTGTCTAAAGTTTGTCTTGAATGTCTTCAGTAAGCTTTTTCTCATACTCTGGATGGCTGGAAATACAGTGTTTAGGGAAGACAGTGTTTCGCCCACAAAATATAGTCAAATCATTTGACAGTATATTCTGAGACTTTTCAACGATGTGATGAGGCACTATTAAATGCAAGGATTATTATTTTATTACTTATTTTGCTTCAGATATTCAACCACTTTATAGACCAAGAGAAGTCCATTAATACAGTAACAGTTATGCTCATTAGTCTTTTTATAGGAGTTGAATGAGTGAGATCCTGTTGGTACATTCTTAATTTTCTAATTTCTTTCTCCGTGATCCCAGAATAATAATAATAATCCTTGCATTTGATTTGTGCCTTACCACATCTTCGAGACGTCTCAAAGCACTTCACAGAATTCAATGTAAAGTGAATTAATTGACTGTATATTTTGGAGAAATGGGGCAGCCATTTGTGGGACACAGCAGTGTCCCACAAACAGTCATGGATTCAATGTGCAAAATAATATTTCCAGAGCTTAATCAGGACAGCCAAAGAGTCGCCCACACAAGCTTTCTATAGAGGAGTGAGGCACATGCCATTCGGAGACTGTAGAAATATTTTGATTGCATTTTTTGACGTAAACTGGGAAGGAAAAGGTGTGGGGATAGGAAACAAAGTCAGTCGAGTGTTACAATTTACCTAATGTGGGGAAGGAGAGAATGACCTACTAATCATCTACCAACCAATTCCATCTTGGGGCCAACAGAAGGAGAACAATCAATTTTGTTTATTGGGTGTATTGGTATGTACAATAATTGCAATGATGGAAAGGATATGAAAAACGTCAATTTATTTTTATACATTAAACTGGGACATACTATTAAGTGTCAAAAACAGTTTCTGCTTCTTTGCAAAAGAGAAAAATAATATCTTCAAAGGTCTGGGTTGGTAGTCTCTTTAGGTTTACATTCCTCTTTAATTATTAACCTCTAAGATGAATGTGTACTGGATGTACAAAGTCTGGGAAACTCATTATTAAAATTGAGTGGTTTCTGGAAATATTATAAAGTTAAATACCAAAAGTTAATAGTTTAACAGAATTCACATGATCTTTAGATGAGTGGTTTTCAAGGATTGAAACATTGATTGGCTGTAAATTCAACATTTGCTTGTCTGTTTCATTTAAATTAGCCAAAACTATGTACAAATTTCAGATACTTGTACAGGCAAATTGTTATTAAGTGACCCAGTTTCTTTCTAACTAACTTAGTTTGAATGCAATAATAATAATAATAATAATCCTTGCATTTGATATAGCGCTTTTCACGTCTTCTAGACGTCTCAAAGTGCTTCACAGAATATACTGTAAAGTCAATTAACTGTATATTTGTGGGCGAATGTACCTTTTCTTGTTAATGACAATTTTTCTGGTTACATTCAGTTATTATTTTTAAGAAGTTTACATGATGTGTGGTTAAAGCTAACGTACAATGACTTTCCATTTGTGTGTTACACTCACTTCCAAGAATCTGAGCTAAATTGAGTTGCAATTTCCTTCCATTGGCTTACAATCTCTATTTAAACCTATTTTGCATAATAAGCCAGTGATGAATTATATTCAACTATTTTCCCTAATGGAGATAACAAATGGAAGTGAATTAAAGCAACAAGAAGTTATATTGTGTCTCCAGCACAATTATTTTTTGTTTTAAATAATAATAACAATACAGTTTGCACACAGTAATGTCCCACAGACCCATGGAATGAATGATGGGTTTCATTTGGAGGAATTGTTGGCCAGGAGAAAGTCCCTCCTGTTTTCGAATAGTGCCATGGAATCTTTAATGTCCACCTGAACACGCAGATGGGACTTTGGTTTAAAGATGGCACCTCAAATAATGCAACACCCCCTACCACTGCATTGGAGTGGTAGACTCACCTAGACTAGGTGACTCCAAGTCCTGATATGGGGCTTGAACCCAGAACCTTCTGACTCAAGAGTCAAGAATGCTACTATCACTGTGCCAGGCTGACACACATATTGAACAAAATACACCCTAGAGGGTGTTTATTCTTTTTATTTACATGGATATCATGGTTTTGTTTGATCAATAAAGTGTTTTGTTCTGTAAATGAATAGTCCTTGAGTAACAGAATTTGGAAATGTATCAATATGAAAACATCCAACTACAACTTATAGTGCCTTTGAGGAGCTATAATGTCTCAAAGTTCTTCACATAAACACAGTGGAGGTGAAGCTAGGTGGCCAAAGTTGCACTCAAAGAAGCATTTCATTAAGAAGAGCTTTGAAAATAGAAAGGGAGGTTGTGAAGTGAAAGGATTTGGGGAGAAAGTTACAGAAAGTGGGGGCCAATGGGGCAGGTAGAGTTAGCAGAGTTCTGCATTAGCTGGAGCTTGTGGAGGATTCAGCTGGGAAGGCTGGTGAAGAGGCCAGTGGATAAATCAAGCCTTGAGGTGGCATTCAAATTGAATGAACATGGGAACAATCCAATACAGAGCTACTCTTATAAGGCACCTTTCCTTATGCAAGTTAAAGGTGGGTGCTCTGAAGATATGTAATTAGCTTTGGCGCAGAGACCATTTCATTCCCCTTGAGCTTTATTTAGCGATAAAGTTCTCCTTCTGGGTTACCAGATCATCACTGATGTGGCTTCTTGTCCACTGCATGTGTGCAACACACAAGAACCTGACATTAGTGGCCTGATACCCCAGATGTTGGTCGTTTTGCTGCACTTCATTATAACGTGGGGTGTGAGGCAGTGTCGTATATAACTATATGTCACACATAATCTAGTGTTCTAATGACAATTCTACATGAGGAAGAAATGGTTGTTCTGAATATATATTTGTATATTGTTTGTAACATTAAAAACAAGTATATTGTGGTTGTTTCATTAATATACATGAGTCATTCTGTGAGTTCTTTAATTGGAAGAGCTACAGTATATCCACAAGCTTCAATGCGGAGTACTGTAAACTAACCTGCAGACGTTTAGTATAAAATCTTCACATCTGTTGGAAACTCATTTTCCTAAGATGTGTGTTGCCATGTAGGGATGTGAACCCAAGTATGTACTT